TGCCCCTTGAAACAGCCTGTGAGCGCCAGCACACACACACACACATATCATGTACATCTTGACATCCGAAAGTGTTTCTCTATACATTTTCATCGAAGTATTTCACAAAACTGATCCATCCACAGAGTCTGTGATGTAGTCAAATGTTTACAAATACAAGCGCAGCTGTTCAGAGCTCATTTCTGGTTAATAATGTCAGAATTACCAGTATTTTGGAATGGATGTGTGAATGCTCTTTTCTGGAAAAAATCCGTAATGTCCTCGCCTGTATGAACAGCGCTTTTTTGAATTACCAGTAAAGTCATTCCGGAAATTTTCCATATATTTACCGGTATCCCTGTGTGAAAGGGGCTATTGACACCCGAAGTGGGTTGCTTGTGTCTAGTTTACTCCTTTGCCTTGTTTTAGTGGCTTCACACAGATAGGATGTTGGAAATGGCAACAGGGTGTTCAGTGCTGTGTTAGCGATCTCTGGGTAATCTGCCATGATTTTTATCCAGAAAACCGGCAGAGATGTTGTCTCGAACACTGTTTTAAGGCCGCCGTCATTTGCGATCTCCAGCAGTTGGTCTTCTTCTTGCATGGACATGCTGGATTCAGCTGGTTTGTTGACAAATGGGTCACGTATCCATTCCTTGGCCGTTTATGGGTCCTTTGAGGTTGGGAAGTAGCGCTCAAACTCCTTTAACAGTGAAGACTGGTGATCGTGCACCAGCTTGGTGAGTGAGCGCGCACGCTCAGTCTCACACAAAATCCCCGCTAATGTTTGAAACATGTCCAATGTGCTTCTGTTCACGCGCAGTCCCCACTAATCCAGTTTGGCTTTAAATGCAACTACTTTATCTTCCAACTTAAAGATAATTCATTCTTGTGCGGCCCGGTACTGATTGATCCACAGACCGGTACCGACCCGGGGGTTGGGGACCACTGGTCTAAAGCACATACAGACACACTAAGAAGTTCCCTTTTGAAGGGGAAATGTATTTATTAAAATACACAGAAATATATGCAGTACTCACAAATACATTATATTTCGTAAAAAATAACTTTTACTTTAGATGTAATTAATTGCTGTTATTCGTTTGACAGCACTAATATATCATATTATATATAAATATATTTATAATATTTTACTGTGGAATAATTTATTATTCTAAAAAAGTATATGTGCTCAGTTTTAATTTCATATTCAATCCTTCATTTTGTTCAATTTTTATTGTGTTTTATCTAATATAGGTCTCTTGGCACATGTTTGCTTTCTTCACGATTATGAGTTTTATGCCATAAACAACAGTTTTTTTTTCTATTTCCTTTGTTCCAGTAAGTCAGTGTTGATGTGATGTGCTTGCCAACTTTCTTTCTAGCAGCAATGCTTTACAAGTCTGCTCAGCACATGATGTGCATTCTGATATGTGCGCTCTGTGGCTCACTGCTGCTTCTGAACCAGAGCAGAATTCATCCTGCTGTTGCACAGGACAAGAAACCATGTTTTCATACACCTGTTGATTTGGAGATTTTTTTGGCTTTTCACGGTTATTTTTTGAAGTCTAATGGGAAGGAAAAAAATCCAAAATGCAATTTTAAGTGTTTCTATTTTTTGGACTTTATCAATTTGCATATGTAGATTTCAACTATGATTTATATTTTTTAAAGTCTGCTTTCTTAAAATAAATTAAGACAATTTATTAACAAAAAAAAATCATAAACCATTTTATTTATATCTAAAGTCTGAAGGTTTTTTATAGAGGAATTTGTTATTGCATAATTCTCATTATTATTAAGATTTTATTATGCAAAAAGTTTGTTATTTTTTGGCTGTTTGCAGTATTTTCAGAATAATGTAGTGATAAAAAGATTCTCAAAACCCCCTCTGTTAAAACCTTTTATTTAAATGTTCAAATAATATTTTTTTTGTTTACAAATATATGCAAATCAGTGCATATTTAATTAAATAATTCATTATTTGCATATGTGAACATAACAATTTAGAAAAAATGTAAAGTGTGCCATTTTAATGTAATGTAATCAACCAATTGGGAAAATATGATGATAACTATTTTCTATTTTATTATAGATGAACTCTAATTTACTCTAATTTATCTGCAGTGTCTTGCTTTAAATTGCACAAACATGATAAGGGATGTTTGTAGTTTAGTGCAGGTTAACAGAGGCCAGAGGGCTGTTAACTGTTAACCCAGCATCACACCGCATGCTGCAAACTAACCATTGCCTCTGTTGCCATGGCAACCCGCAGCAGGTTGCCAAGCGAGGACGGCTCTCTTTCGAGCAGTGGATCTGGGAAACTGAACACTGGCAGAAGCTCCACAGCTCGCAGATCCACAATACAGAAAACACCCAAAGAAGAGCAGCACGCCAGAAACGGTGAGGAAGACACACAAAGAAAAGGAGCAATATCCTTCTCTCAAATGTTTATGAAATCTCTATTTTTTTTATTTTTTTTAAACCTCAAAGCAGCATTTTAAATTTAAAACAGTTTTACTATAATTCTTTGATTTTATATTTTATATTTCATTAAAATAATCTGTTTTATTTGTCTGTATAATGAAAAAATGTATGTATTTATATTTATAAACTTATTATTTGGATAATATTAAATCATTATATTTTTACCCTTTGACTCCCCGCTTTACCAAATAGTTGACCATACTTTGACTGTTTTAAATAATGACTGTTAAAGTCATTTAAAGAATGACGTTTTTGAATAATAGGTTATACACAAAGCATTGTTGGATTACACAGAAATCAAACAAAAATGAACCTGTTGCACTATGAAACTTGACTTTAGTTTTATTGTAAAAAAAAAAAAAAATGAAATAAGATTCTGAAATATGTCAAGGCATATTTAAAAAAAAAGAGGATTTAGCATTTACAAATGTTTTATTTTGATTATGTTTTAAAATTACATTGCAATTTATATTTTCAGATTTTTCATAGTATATGCATTAATTCCGGTACTTTTAACATAAACCGACATATTAAACATTTGGTAGAGGCTGATATTTTAGAAAATATGGGATGTGTTGGAAAAAAAATGCATTGTGTGTGTTAATTAGCGACATTATTATAGCTTAAAATATAGCTCAAAGGGCCAATAATTTTGACCTTAAAATAGTTTTTCATTTTTTAAAAACCATTTTAGGGTTAAAATTATTGGCCTTTTAAGCTACAGTATATATATTTTTAATTAGTCTACAGAAAAAACATAGTTATACAATAACTTGCCTAGTTACACTGACCTGCCTAGTTAACCTGATTAACCCAATTAAAAACTGCTTTTATTCTAGCCTAAATAAAAGAAATAAGACTTTCTCCATGATCAGACATAATGTGAAAATGTCCTTGCTCTCTTAAACATAATTTTGGAAATATGTAAGAAAGGGAAAAAAATTAAAGGGGTTTAATAATTCTTATTTTAACTGTATATTATATTATATTATATTATATTATATTATATTATATTATATTATATTATATTATATTATATTATATTATATTATATAAAAATTTTTTGCTAGATATATAAGTGTACGAAAAATAAAATATTTAAATGGTACTTTTTTATATTAAAACAAGGAAACAAATACATAGATCTAAAATCCTAAATGTATTATACAATTAATTTCCAGTAAAAAGTTGAACCGCATAATATATATTTACATATTTTTCAGTAAAAAAAGCATTATCAAAGTATAAAAAATCTTTTGATTTTGTTTAGTTTTGACAAACATTGTTAAAGTCCACGTGAACCAGAAGTTGCTGCGGTCTTCATTTCAGTATGACGTATTTCTAAGTAGTAATATTGAGGAGGGGGCGGGGTTTATTTTTGCACTCCTCCTCTCATCTTTTCATCCTTTACTTGCAGCAAACATAAGCCGCGGTCACACTGGACTTTCGCTTTATAGATTTTCATTCATAAACATGCGACTGTAGCAGACTGGAAACACAAGCTCGTGCGCCAAGTTTGCCATTTCGATAAGTTCATACTTGGTGAACTCTGACCTGCGAAATCGCATAAGATGATTTCTTGAGACCAATAAAAGATCAAATGTGACCTCAGTTACAGAAATGTAAACCAAATGGACCAATCGCTCACTTTTTTAAATGTCTAATCATTTTGTTGAATCCCGCCCTTTTTCACAGCAATATGCAACTGAATTTTGCATGCTCAAACTGTAGTGTGACCACGGCATAAAGGTTTGAGAGACATTGCCATCAAACTGATCATCAGAGAAGGACTATTATTCCAGGTTCAAGATTTTGATTAAAGATTACCAAAAACAAGCAGTTTTTTTCAGTAGATTAACTTGCACAGATTAATTATTTACCTTAAGACTAACAATGTGCCTTAGCAAAATAAATATCATATATTTTAATGTCACGCAGACTTTCAAACACAAAGAAGTCAACATGCATCAGTTCAGTGACTTAAAGACATATTCTCATACAAGTTTTATTAGCAGTTTTAAACTCTTCAAACCTCAATACAGTAACATTATTTGCACCTAAAAATAAAACCTGCCATCCAAGATCTCACACAAACCCAAAAATAAGTGCCTATATCAGTGTCTAGCGTCAGTCTTGTTTATTAGTATTTAGAGCTGCACTTTTTGCTGATGCGCCTTTTACCCTCTTACAGTAATTTTATCAGTCTCCTGTGTGTGTTTTCCAGACCATTATGACTCTCTAACCGGCTCTCTGCGCCTCATCACCATCAAACCCATGGCGGCTCCGCTCAACTATTCCTATCCGGACTCGTCCAGCCACAGCCAAGACTCTGTCATTCTCAACGGAGAGGTGAGTTCATTAGAAATCTTTTATTGCTGATTTATTTGTACCTGTGTTGAGAGCTTGTCAACAGGAACCTACTGTAAAGACACACTGAGTGGGTCTGATATTATAGAGGCCCTATGCAAAACGCATAGTTTCCAGTTTTTTTTTTGTTTTGTTTTTTGGCTAAATACATTTTTCTGTAAACAGATCCTTCAGACTGTCAACCAACAACAGTGTGAGCACACTTAGATGCACACCATAGTGTTGTTTACACTAGTACATATTGTTTTAAACCACAAGATTTGTTACAGTTTCGGCTGAAGTCCACACTACTACAGAATTTTTTAACCATGAAAACAGAGCAATTTGAAAAGACTTGGCATTATATTATATTATATTATATTATATTATATTATATTATATTATATTATATTATATTATATTATATTATATTATATTATATTATATTATATTATATTACATTATATTAAATTTTATTATATTTTATTATATTATGTTATATTACATTTTATTATATTATATTATGTTTTAATGTTATATTATATTTTATTATATTATACTATATTATATTATGTTATATTATATAATATTATACTGTATTATATTATATTATATTATATTATATTACATTATATTACATTTTATTATATTTTATTATATTATGTTATATTACATTTTATTATATTATATTATATTATGTTTTAATGTTATATTATATTTTATTATATTATACTATATTATATTATGTTATATTATATAATATTATACTGTATTATATTATATTATATTATATTATATTATATTATATTATATTATATTATGTTATATTATATTATATTATATTATATTACATTATATTACATTTTATTATATTTTATTATATTATGTTATATTACATTTTATTATATTATATTATATTATGTTTTAATGTTATATTATATTTTATTATATTATACTATATTATATTATGTTATATTATATAATATTATACTGTATTATATTATATTATATTATATTATGTTTTAATGTTATATTATATTTTATTATATTATACTATATTATATTATGTTATATTATATAATATTATACTGTATTATATTATATTATATTACATTATATTACATTTTATTATATTTTATTATATTATGTTATATTTCATTTTATTATATTATATTATATTATGTTTTAATGTTATAGTATATTTTATTATATTATACTATATTATATTATGTTATATTATATAATATTATACCGTATTATATTATATTATATTATATTATGTTATGTTATGTTATGTTATATTATATTATATTATATTATATTACATTATATTACATTTTATATTATATTATATTATATTATGTTTTAATGTTATATTATATTTTATTATATTATACTATATTACATTATGTTATATTATATAATATTATACTGTATTATATTATATTATATTATATTATATTATATTATATTATATTATATTATATTATATTATATTATATTATATTGTTTATTTATTGATGATAGCATTATTTGCATACAAGCTGCTTGATCTAATTTAAGGAATCATTTAATAATATTTTATGCAATAAAACAGTCAAATAAATAATAATATAAATCAAACCAAATAAAAGTTTCATATTTATGATTAGTATGAGCTTTATTTTAATATTGGTATATCATAATTACTTTATAATATACAAAACTATTCACAATTTTATTAAAATGTTATATTGCATTTGTAAATACATTTTTTGTAGCATAGCACTTTGAGAAATGCATCATTATGGAGCAGGTCTATTGTAACATCATTGGATTTGACTGATTTGGAAGTCATATAGGAAGGACAACAAAACATGGCTTTAACAGAAAACAATGAGAGTGACTATTTTCATTATCATTTCATGTTCATGTTCATGTTTTTTCTCTTAATATAATAATAATAAAAACATCTGGTGGTTTGGAGGCCCTTTACGACTTTCATATTATGAGAATAGAAAGGATTTGCTCTGTAGACACTGTTTTTCCCTCAGGATCAGCCAAAAAAAATCTATTTTGGCTTAGCAGCTAGCAAGAAATTATAATTATATGAGATTTCTACCTGCAGGTCAACATGGGGCTGAAGCAGAAGTCGGACATTGAGCATTATCGAAATAAGCTGAGGTTAAAAGCCAAAAGGAAAGGTTACAGTGACGGGCCGGGCAGCAGCGGGAGTGGCAGTGGACACATGTACAGCCATCGGGACAGGCTGAGGCGCGAAAACGCTTCCCTGGACCTGGAGGATCTGAGGGGGCCCAAGGAGGACAGGAAACCCTCCACTTATGTAAAGTACCGCAGGAGGTGGGTGGACACTGAATCCCTGCTCTTAGTCATCCCGAAATATTTAGAGAAGCTCAAACGTGTGTTTGTAGATACAAGCGAATGCAAATGGAATGTGTATTTCTATACAGTTAAGAGCAAAATTCTTAGCCCTTCTGAAATATTTATTCGTTTTCAAATATGATGATATGATTTTCAAAGCGATGTTTAATGGAGCAAGGCAATTTGCACAGTTTTTCTGATAATATTTTTTTCTGGAGAAAGTCTGATTTAAAAAAAAAAAACATTTAATGGTCAATATTATTACCGTACGTTCACACCGAAAGCAGCAAGAGTGCCAAAATAGCCGGAAGTCATTCATTTTCAATGAGAGCCGGCGGCGATAAGCTGCAAGAAGCAGCGAGGCGCGTCTTCACCGGTGTGGGCGTCAAGGAGAGTTGAAATAGAGTGAACTTTATGGTAATGAGCTATGAAGCGTTTCGGCAGCAAGCAATCGGACTGTAGAAGTCCACCGCTTGAGAGGAGTCCAGAGAACACAGTCACTGTGAACTTTGGTTCCGACCACAGTTATTCCCAAGGGTTTGATTATTGCGGTCGCTGTATTTCAAATTATTTGCAATGTTTTCTTACAGGAACTTACATTAAAAAGCTACTGGTGAGTTACTGATGTTCATTAATGTTAGATATTTTTTTCCTTAATAAAGCGGGAATCTCAATACAAAACAGTATTGCTGCTTCAGGATATTTCAGACATATGGACATATAGGATACTTAAGTGGAGCAAAGCCACACTGTACGCAACTTGATCTTGCACTGTTAAATGAATTTGCTAAAAAGTGTGCAATATTTTCATGCAAAGCATGTTTTATGCAGGAATGTAACTGATATGCTGCAATGGCCCCTTTAAATTCGAGATCGATGTAGCAACCTTTGACGCTCTTGCCACTTTCAGTTTAAACGTACGGTTAGCCCCCTTATTTCGAGTTTAGACTGCATGATTTTCATAGTCGTGCCACAGATGTTTTCACACTGCATGACTATCTGAGGTAGCGTTTTGTCGCTGCTTTGTTTACACTGCAGGATGGATTAGCGACAGGAGGTTTTACACTGCATGATTTTACAAAAAGAAGACTCGCGGACAAACTTTGTCCAAACTACTTTTTACTACCAAATACACGTTGTTATTAACTACATAATGAAAATAAAGCCTTTAATGGGGTAGAAAATGTACATATTTGCTTACCCAGGGTTGAAGGGAATTAGCAATTTCTCCTCAACCTTTTTCCTTTTTGACCCGGTTGTGATATTGCTCAGATGACACGTCAAACAGAGAGGGGTGCTCCTGCCAAATTTACTCTAGTTTTTCCTCCATTTCTTGGGTCCAGACAAACGGAAAATGAGTTGCTTTAAACTTCTCCTCCAACACTGGCCTGCAGATCCTCACACTAGTGGATGCTGCTTTCAAATTGGCTGTAGGTGATCGTCGATGTCATTTTCAGCCAGAACTCATTTCACACAGCATGATTTGAATCGCTGACAGGACCAGATATTTAGAATGCCAATATCTCACAGGTGTTGGCGACTTATTAGTTGATTCTCTTAGATTGCTTAGTCTTTGACAGTTCACACTGAGTGATTGTTATACTCACGTGAATAAGCACCAAAACAAGCCTTAAAATTACATTCTGTACCTCCCCTTTAAGGGGTTAACAACTAACGTGCTCTGCGCTGGACTTTAGACTTGCTTTTAACTGGCCAATTGTACTGTCTGTTCTAGTTCCTTAAAATAGCAATGTGACAACAATGCACCTTTACACACCTCCTTTCTAGACGGGAATACCCATGAGTCCATAAAGAGGCTCAAATAGTTTTTCTATTTAAACAACTTGATGCAAAGCTGGAACATTAGGGTTGCATTGTTCTGAAAATAGCAACAAATCGTGCCAAACACGTCTTGCCCCCTATTGTGCTGGGTTTATGATAGGGCGCATAAAGTTATAAGTTTTTTCATAATTAACAATACGATCAATTAAAATGTTCATAATTAACTAAAATTTTCAAGGCTTTCAGTTGTTTTAGTAGATTAAAAACATTAATCGTGTTTTTAAAAATCTATATATTTTGTTTTGAAAAAGGTGAATAATTGTTATACAAATAACAGCTTAAATTGATATCAATTGATGTAAAAACTAAAATATTACATTTAGATGTAATTTTATTACAGTTTAAAACAACTAATTTCAATTATTAAATATTATAAAATTCATTTTATACATGTAATGCAAATTTTTAACTTTGGTGCTTAAGAAACATTTCTTATTATTATCAATATTGAAAAAAACTGCTATAATTTCTTTTCAGTGATGTATTTGATTTTGTAAACACTGTAAATGTCTAGTAAAATGTTTGATCAATTTAATACATCATTGCTGAATGAAAGAATTTTTTTATTTAAATCCCCTCCTTCAAGTTTACAGCAGTTTTACAGCATATATTTCATTTGCATAATTCCTACTATTGTGCAATTCCTTCTGTGCTAAAACAACAAAGCTCTTACAAATAAACAGCCCTATTTATTCTTATTCTGTTCCCCCTGTGGCATGAATGAAGATCTTTTTAATGGGCTCAAAAAGAGCATGTAATGTTTAGACATTAATATTTTAGCTTGTGTAAAAATAGAAATGAATCATAACTTATATTGCCCCTGACTTTCGTAACAATATGTTGGTTTATAAGGTCACAATACTGTACTTTTCCCTCCTCCTCTGTCCAGTGATTCCCACAGGGAGCCAGCATATTGGAGCAGGCAGTCTCTGAACACCCCGAGCCCAGTGGAGACGGAGATGGACATGCTGGTCATGAGGGAGAGATCTAGAAGGGGTATTCGCAACAGTGGCTATGATGTAAGTTCCTCATATAAAATCTTCTGTTCTAAAGTCTTTCCGCTCTGCGTGTGTCATTCATAGTTCATAGAGCCAGCTGAGATTCGTTTTGCTTTGGCGATGGCTATCAGCTCAAGTTTGCTTCAAGGCTTAGATTAAAGCAGTGATGTCCAAACTTGGTCCTGGAGGGCCGGTTCCCTGCTGAGTTCAGCTCCAACTTAATTTAACACACCTGCCAGGAAGTTTCTAGTATATCTAGTAAGAGTTTGATTAGCTGGTTGGAGCTAAACTCTCCAGGACACCGGCCCTCTAGGACTGAGTTTGGATACACTTGGATTAAGGTGATTAAGTTTAAATCTGGATTATGACAGAGTTTGAGATTATGTAAAAATAATAATGACTTTTTAAATTATGTGGATTGAAAATTTGTGGAATTAAAGCTGGCACACTAATAAGGTCCAGAGCCTCTCATTTTAGTCACTAATGTGCCTGTAAAATCATGGGAGGGATTTTTAACATTACAATTTAGCTACAGTCACCTCCATAATGCATACAAATAGCCTTACTCGCATCCGGGTCACGGCACCAATTTACAAGTGCACAGCATCTGTTCAGTTTCATCTCTTTAACATTTGTGTGGAAGGTAGGTGCACTAACATGAACACTAAAGGCTGTAGCCTGTAGCATCTCTTGCTAGTGTGTTTATCAATTAGCGGGGGAGTAAAGTTTATCTACAGATATCAGAAATGCTGGCCTTCATTACACTCAACACCTCTAAAGATGTGGGATTCAAACCATTGTGTTTGACATGGGAGGCAGGTGCACAAAAGTGGATGTCTAGCATCAGTTGCTAGTGTGTGTCTCGAGGCCAGAAGAGTGAGGCTTATTGGTACGTATCGTGTTAACTCACTCCTTAAATTTCTCTTATATCTGGGTCACGGCACCAATATACCAATGCATACGTGCATGCAGTTGTTATTTTCTCTATTCCTCACTTCCATCTGGGTCATGCCACCGGTAGCTATGTATCATCCAAAGATGCAAATTAGATTAATGTGCAAAACTGGAATATCGCATAAAACAATTGCAAATAAAACTTCCTGATTAACTGACGGCAAATATCACAAAGAAAAATGGAATTTGCTGCAGTAGAAAAAACACTATGGGCCTTTTTTTGTTATATAATAAATTACTTGCACTTGAGAAGATGAAGAAGAAATGCAATGAATGCGCAGGTGCTATTGGAGGTGTGAGACCTCTCAGATGCAGATGCTCAAGAGATTTCTGGAAGGTAAAAATACAAAATCACTTCGGTAATGGTTTTTGAATGACCAAAACAACATGTCAGATGTTGTCCCTGCTCATAGTGGGATATTCGAACCAGAGATTCCAATATGAGTGGACTAAAATGGACACTGAAGCCTCTAACGTGCCTCTTGAGGCCAGGGGAGTGAGATGTACCCCAACAACTCTTACCAGCCAGCCTGTTATTCTTACCACTCTAAACATCACACCCATTCGGGTCACTGCACCCCTTCATTTACTGTACCTCTAGTCAGTTGCTTGTGACCACACACTAGAAACATTTAGGAAGTTATTTGATCATGTCTCCTCATTGAATCTACAACAGGGTGAGCCTGAACCCTTTGAAGAGACGGATGTGGACCGTCTTCTGAGTTCCCTGGGCTTTGGAGGTGGCCACCAGGTTAAAGGCCACTCCGACTCATCCACTCTGAGCTCACAGCCCTCCATCGACGAAGTGAGGCAGCAGATGCACCTTCTCTTAGACAACGCCTTTGGTTTAGCCTCTGCCGAACCAACCCCAGCAAACCACCACCACCATCACCACCATCCTCACAGTGCTTACAACCCCAGTCATGGCAGCCCTTACCTGGATGGAGTCACCAGCGCACCTGGGACTATGAACCACCCCAGTGGAGCTCTACAGCGCGGCTCCTCCTTTGGGCCAGACATGCACCAGTGTAGCCTCCCCAAACCAGTGAGTGCAATTCTTTGACAATATTCACCATTGCGATATGTATGCAAACGTTTGTTGATTGCTTGTTGATTGGTGATTGGTTCTGCAGGGATTCAGGTTTACCCAGCTGCCTGATATGGGTTTGGGCTCCCCGCCACCCCTCATTCCTCCAAGAGGTGGAGTCCCACCTGGAACTTCACTTAGATGGTGAAAGAAACTTTCGAATATATTTTCACACTTTTGTGTTCATATTGATATTTGAAGCACACATCATGTTTTATTATACTTTGGTATTGCTGAATTCTTGATTCTCATTGGTTAATGAACATTTAAGGTGAACAAGTAGTTCCAGGCAGGTGTTGTAAGTCACTGCACTAAATGTTTTTCTTAAAGGTGCAGTAGGTGATCTGCCAGAATACTAACGTTAGCATAAGAGCTTTGAAAATGTACGTCCCTTCCCTGCCGTCCAAAGTCACGCCTCCTTAAGTCATGGACGTGTGAACGTGCACAGAATAGGTGACAATCTGATGGCGATTGACAACCTTATATAACACTAGATCATGTCATTTACCAATATTGTCATTTACCAACATTTACCAACTTTATGGAGACACGCACTTTGTCCAGCATAGTTGTTGACAGCTGTTGGACAGTGGGTGCATGAATTATTTTCCTGGCACTGGGGTAAATTTGGTTTTATATTTGCACATTCGGACTATATCCTTTACAATATAATTTCAGAAAAGTATTGTTTGAAATTTTAAATAGAGAAATCATATAATCAGTTAATGACTATAAAATATAATTTTTTTACATTCAATTAAATAGTGCTAATGTTGTTTTGAAGTCATACCTACACGTTATTTCAGACTCAATATTCAAAGTAACGGTAGAGTGTGTACTGTAGGTTGTCATTGTTCAAAAAATGAATGAATGTGCGGATATAAATCACCTCAGTAAATCTGTTTAGGGTGGAAGAGCGATGTTTAGTTGTTTTATTACTCAACTAAATAAAAATCAGATCAGAAAAAAGGAGTGCTAAAAGCAGAAATACCCTGTCATTGTTTTACATTACACTTACGTTACCAAGACAACTGACTTACCTTTAATTTTCAGTTGTGCTTGAAGATCCTCTTACATCACTTGTTTTTATCTTCTTTTATACTTGAACAACTAAATGAATGCTTGGTCTTTTTAACCAACACTGTTATCGATGCTGTAAAAGATTTGCCATGAACTTAAAAAATAGCCAATATTTCGCCGAACGTTTTCAGTGGCTGAAAAACATCTCCATGCATATAAACCCCTTCATAAACAAGAACACAATCTACGTAAGCTGTTTGTGACTAAAATAGTTCTAAAACATACCTGTCTAAAAGTAATACATCAGCCATGGTGTCACCCTTTTGATCTTTGTTTTGAACTGCATAATGTCATTGCCCTCCAGTGGGATATCGATTTAGGGTTTAAAAAAGTTCTGATTTGCATTTTTGGCAATAGCCTTTTCAAAAACAATCATTCTTTTCATGGGTACAAGGCCACATTGCTCTTTCGTAAAGAAGTTCAAATTGATGAGTTTGCCTGATGTCACTCTCTTGCTGCGTCTTCTACGCCATTTTGTATTATAAATAGTGTCAGTAGTGCGTTTACACTGAAAACTCTAAAAATAATAAGCGCACTTTAATTACGTGAATGATGCACTTATTTAGCCAGTAAAATGAAGTGTGTAATGATGGACACTTCACACGCTCAACGACCACAGGTTTGCTCATGTAGCGGAAGGGGCGGAGCTATCGGGCGCACATGTTGGATAACTTTATTTATTTTGGATGGTGAAAGCAAAATTCTCTTACAAGAGGTATTTAGTGCCTCCCAATGGTGAATGCGGTTATATGCATCACAGATATTATTTGATAGCTTGGTCATTTATTTCACTGATTTGGCAACCGTCAAACGTCATCAGGGAAACGGTTTAAATTTCGGCTTAGTAAAAAAAAAGCATTAGTGCTCCATTTGGGACGACACTACATACATGTACTATGCTGTTGAGTGTGTAAGTGCATAAGTACATAGTGCATAGTGTATAGTGTGCCATTTGAGACGCAGCTTCTGTCAGCTGTAGGTGGCTTTACGTCCACAAGTAAATGACGAATGTGTCTGCATGAAGAGGCTGTGCAGGAATATAAATTTAAATTTGTTGACACACTTTGAGTTACCTGTCGTAATTTAGTTATTTGTCAGCCCGATAAATTTTAATTGGACGAACATTTTTTAGTCTTATGCCTTACGCAGAATATAAAAATACATTTTACACTTTAAGCATTACAATCAGAATGTGAAGAGACTTTTAACCAGCACAACAAAAAATGTTTCTGAAGACAATCACCTACTGTACCTTTAATTATTTCTAAAATTCTGCAACACCAAAAGAACCAAAACCTTTACATGTATTAAACAACAAATGATTTAAACAATGATTTAAATAAATAATTTTAATGTTTTTACCTAGTAATTAAATGTTATTATGTCCTAAATGCACATACTTTTTCCTCTCCTATAGAAACACATACCAATAAATTACTGGCACACACATGCACACATGCACAAATAGGTGTTGTCTGTGCTGTCCTGTAACCTTTTAAAGGGGAAGTGAATCACTCTGTCACGTTTAGATTATTTTGTAGATTGGATTCCACATTAATGGAAATATATATACAGTAACAAACTCGATTAATGTAACCATTTAGAAGAAAACAGTATGTTTTACTATAGCTTTTAGACCTTGGGCGCCACCATCTTGGAATGTCGCTGTGTTTGACGTCACAGGGTTAGTTCCGTTCCCTCAGCTGAACAGATACAGTAGAAGTACGACGCCACGGAGCATGGAGACTGTATAGCCTAATTGAACCCAATGCTTGTTGTGGACATGGAATTGGTGCAAATACAAGCATCAGATGTGTGTCTAATATAAAAATGTATAAATCTACTTTTTTTACATTTTAATTACACATCATTTGATGCGCTTTGGTCCACTCTCTGTATCACGCTGCCTGACTGCCTGTCTGGGTTTGAACCATAGTAGTAACGGACTGAATACAGAGACTGGACAGTCTAAACCGATGCTTGAAGTTGTTTACGTGTATCGCAAAGCTGCTGCAAATACAACAAATACAATTAAAATGATACATGACTTTACACTTTACTAATACTCGTCTTTATCTTTGTGTGAAAATGTGAAAAACCACGCCGACCTTAGTTTAGTTTGAACATGAAAAGAGGTGAGGGCTGTAGTAGTGAAAAGTGAAAGTACCCGCAGCCATTACCTAGTTGAAACAATGGTTGAAACCCATACAAGTAGGCAGACAGGCAGCGTAATTCAGAGAGTGTAATTCAATGGCTTGTAATTAAAAGGGAAAAAAGAAAAACATAATAAACATATACATTTTTCTATTAGACACACATGTGATGCTTGTATTTAAACCGACTCCATGCTCACAACTTCATGTTTAAGGTTCAATTAAGCTTTACAGTCTACAGTGTTCAGTCCTTTACTTCCGCTGTATCTGTTCAGCTGAGGAAACAGAACCAACCCCATGATGTCAGACACAGCGATATTCCAACATGGCGGCGACCTAGGTCTAAAAGCGATAGTAAAACATGCCGTTTTCTGATAAATGATTACATGAATTGAGTTTGTTATACAGTTAAGTAAGAATTATTAGCCCCCTTGACTTATTAGCCCCCCAGTTTATTTTTTCCCCAATTTCTATTTAACGAAGAGATTTTTTTCAGCACATTTCTAAACATATTAGTTTCAATAACTCATTTCTAATTACGGATTTATTTTTTCTTTGCCATGATGACAGTAAATAATATTTTAATAGATGTTTTTATTAGGTATTAAGCTTAAAGGGCAATTTAAAGGCTTAACCTACATTAATTAGGTTAACTAGGCAGGTTAGGGTAATTAGGCAATTTATCGGATAATGATGGTTTGTTCTGTAGACTGTCAGAAAAACATTGCTTAAAGGGGCTAATATTTTTGACCTTAAAAGGGTTTGAAAATATTTAAATCTGCTTTTATTCTAGCTGAAATAAAAAATAAGACATTCTCCAGAAGAAAAAATATTATCAGACATACTGTGAAAAATGTCTTGCTCTGTTAATAATCATTTGGGAAATATTTAAAAAAGAAAAAAAAAATGTAAAGAGGGGCTAAAAATTCTGAGTTCAACTGTATATATTTGCATTATAGTGGAAATCAATGTACAAAATAATGTAAACTTGACGGAGTGCTTCATTTCCTCTTTAAATATCTTTTCACTATTAAAAATTATGACATTTTGAAGTATTTTCCAATAAAAATAAAGCAATTAACAATTAGATTGATTAGTAAACAAGTAAAACCTGAAGAAGTGAAATATTCAATTAGTCAACATTTGTATCATTATTTTTATATTATCAAATGATTATCCATTATTCTTAAATGATTATGACTGTCATATTTCCATTCAGAACTAGATGAGCTAGAAATGCATATCCAGCTGATCCCGGCTCACAGTGAGAAAACATTTGATATTTTTAGGCAGCATTCTTACTGTACCACACAGAATTACTGCGGTGAGCCTTGTGTATATTTATATAAGTGTTTTCCTTTGCGATTCTGTGGCTGGCATGCACTGAAAGCGCTGCTGACTGCATTGAGGTGTGTTATGCGGCTCTGAGGCGATGCTGGCCAGCGTTTCCCCCTGGTGGCCCCATCACAACATAACAAGCCTTCTTCATGTGTTACTGTAGCTCCACACCAGACATGAGTCTGAAGCCGCGGGTCTCCGAGGCCTCTGAAATGAGTCAGCACAACGGCACCCCTTACCTGCCCATCAACAGAGCTCCGTTCCCTGCTGTCACTGTCGACGAGTCCATGACCAGCTACTCAGGTCAGCGCGCAGAGTCTGCAGAGCTGTGGAAAAATAAAACAACACCGGGTTTAGATACTGACCCAGGTGGATTCATTGTTTACAGAAAGAAAATAAGAAAGTAGTTGGGTTTCTGCTCCAGATGATTTTCAATAAGAGAAACTAGCACTCATAAAAATATTGACATGTCTTTTTGGACATGTACTATGGTGATATATACATATATATATATAATAATTTTTTTTATATGTGCATTGATAATACCAGCATGGTTAAACCATATCTTTAAAATGGACCATGATGTATATCATTGTAATACCATTCACATGTACCATGGAGAAAAAATTGTAATGTGGTAATATTCTAAAATTTTTGATGTCATTTTAGTGTCAAAGCTTTTTTTAAATATAATATTTTATTGTGTCTTTTTTTTATATATTTTTAAGTGTATAAAATATTGTCTTTTCTCATGTATTAAACCATGGTAAAAATCATTTTATGTGGGCCATGACATGTATGATGTTTGTGATGTGTACCATATACCAATTTACTTTTTTATCCATCATGATTTTTTTACATGTACCATGGTAACAATGCTTTTTATTACATGTACCATGGTAATATAATCATCTTTGACATTGTATTATAGCAATAGCATAGGGTTTTCACATGTATAACAAAATAAAACAAACAAAAAATGCTGTGTTTTTTTTGGAACACTAATATAATGCTAATATCGCATCTTGAATGCATTTTAAACTAATATTTTTGTCTATCGTTTTTATCATGTTACAGGAAACCCAATGACAGCAGTATATGCCATATCTGCCAACCGGCCCGGGTACTCGGACTACTTCGTCCTCTCTCCACCGTCCTCGTACCGCAGCCCGTCCTGGATGTCCTACCCTCCAGAACCAGAGGACCTTCCGCACCAGTGGAACGACACAGTAAAGGCAAGCTCTGCTTCTGTTTATAGTTCCGTCAACATGACTAAACCTACCCGATGTCTGCTAACACATCTGGTACTGTGACCTTATTATGTCTTCTGATTATGCTTTAAGAGTGAATAGTCCACCTCTGGGTTTCTGTATTGTCTCTGCTGTGTCATTTTAAACTGAAATGTTTTTGTTATGTTGATCTTTTTTCTTTTCTTTACAGAACCAGTGTCACCTGGAGACCATCTGCTGAACTGGAGTTATTTCTGATGTTGAGCAGACACAGAATTTTAACAGGGTACTGGTACTTTTAGATATTTTGGCACTTTGCTTTATGGATTTTGTAAATCATATTGTAGCTGATGAGCAACTTCTTATGGATGGTTTTAAAAATTATCTGAAATTTCATATTGCACATTAACCAAAAAAAAAAGATATAAAATATATTTTTTAATGATATATATTTTTATATATCATTATTACCTTATGTATTATAAATGTTATTTAATTTGAATTTACAAATTCATGGCTGCTCAACAACAGCCAATAAAAAACTGTACAAAAGCACGCACATCACTCTTAACTGGGTGCCCAGCCAAAAAGTAAAAAGTGCAAATTATACATTCAAAATGGTGGCAACACCAAAGCTCCAAACATGCAAATGTATTAAATTAAAAAGGCTGACACAAAGCGTGTGTCGTTTCGAACCCACGGCTCTTCATCAGACAGTGTTCATCACTAGGTGCTCCTTTTAGTACACTTCCGGATCACATGTTCTCCTTTTATCTCACAACAAGAAAAAATATATATACTTACATTTATATAAATTATACACCTTAGATATTCAAACCGAAAATACAGATAAAGAACATAATATTACATCACAAATGATAAAAAACAGAATGTACCAGGATACAACAACATATACAACTGAATAGAGCCAAAAAACTTTAACCAAAAAACTAATTAAACATTAAAGAAATATTAAAGAATTATTAAAGAAAAGGACGATTGTCAAACTCCTCATTTAAACCTTTTGGAGACAATGTATCTAGAGTGAAAATTTAAAAGGCTTCACTTGTAACAGCAATTTGTAAAGATCTTCTCTCTGACGTGGACGATTCACAACTTCAATCCCTATGTATTGTAGAGTGGAGACAGAATGTCTCATAACTGAGAAATGCTGCGCAACAGGACTTCTAGGATCACAATGTCGAATAGGGCATCGATGTTCAGAAATGCGAATTTTTAAAGGTCACATTTTTAAAGTCTATATATTTATTTCTTGTAGAACAACATACTGTATATTACACTATAAAACCAAAAAAACAACATTTTTCTTACACAAATATTCACTCAGTAAATAAACATTTTAATAGATTATCAATAAGCATACATATTCTGCTTTGTCCCCTAAATTTGTTTCTTAAAGGTGTGTGAGATGAACATCTGAAAATAAAGAAAACATTAATAAATACAATAATGGTAATAAATAGCAATGGTTCCCTTCAAAGATGCGAATTAAATTGGAATAACGCACTAAAAACGTGCGAATAAAGCAGTGTTTCCATCCAATAAGTGAAATAGAATAAAATCGTCATTTTCTGATAAACTGACACCAAATATTAAAAGTAAAAATGAAATTTACTGCAGTAAGAGAAGCTGCGTGAATCTTTTCCTTATTTAAAAAATTACTTGCGCCTTGGAAGACGATGCCGACACGCAATGAATGCGTGGTGGCGTTTGAAGGCATTACGTAGAGCATAGAAGCTCTTGACTATTCTGGAGGTAATTATTAACACTAATGCTGAATAGGGTATTTGTTAACAGCACAGCCACATCTTTAATGGATAACTGCGGTCTCCTGATATGCAGTTAAATAATTACGCTTAATAAAATTAAAAAATTTAAAAACTTAGCAGGAATATTATCTTTAAATACATCACTCACCAAGAAGCCATCCATCCAGCCCCCTGCCACCTTGGAGCCTCCTCGCTGTCTCTCTTTCCAAATTTGGACCCAACTCAGCACAGAGCTCCAAGAGGATAGCTCTTGGAAATCTAAAACGGCTAATAAGCCAGTCATCATCGTAGGCCAGAAAATCACTGTAATCCCTAAAAACGCGTTCCCTTCAGATTCAACCATTGACAATGTCCTTCAATAAGGCCAACGCTGCCATTGCCATAGACTAAGGGTTGTATTCATTTACCAATCCTTTTAAATGTTCTAAATCACATAATTGGTAAAAAAAAAATAGTGTCAATGAACTCATTTTATTAAATATAAATGAATAGCAATGTTTTTCACATGTGTTGGTGCGATACTTTGTAGTGTGCAATTTAACATAGTTGCCTCAAGGAGTCGCCAATGGGAAAAAAAAAAAACAAACACACACAAGAAATACACGTACACATTGCAATATGTTTGTATTTTTCAGGGTTGCACACCACCAAAAAGAATCCCGGATTCAGCGACCCCTAACCGACCACAACACTTGGTTAAAAACAGCCAACCTAACCCCAAAGCCACAAGGTCACCTGCCAGCCTAAGCGAGATGCAGCACCCGATGAACCAACGTCTACAGTGAGGGTAAAACCCACCACAACAACAACCGCTCACTGGCCAAAACTGTGTTTTTCTTAAAGCTTTTTCAAATTAAGAAGTGTTGTATCTTATGCAGGTGGTTTTATGTGCATTTTAAACACTTGATTACTAATAACAAACAACTAAAACACTTTTTTTCTTGCTTCATCAATGCCTATCTGTGTCTTTTGCTCTCATTCATGCATTTAAAAAAAAAAATGTAGGTGATTTTTTTGTGCACTCTCTATGGCTTATGTACGTAAAAAACAAACAAACAACGATGATGACGATGAATGATGTTAAAGAAATTGAACATTTGAAGGGATGTGACATCCTGTACTGTATTTACTGTAGTCAAAATGCAAAAAAAAACAGTATATGCTTTTTTCTTTCTCTCAAAAAATGCCATAGTTTATGCTGTATTGAAGTGTCTCACGATGCACAACCGTTCATGAAAGGCATGAATTGTGTTTTACGTGTGATTTGGGAGGATAGCCATAAAGTGGACAAATGATGAATGGATGGAGGGATTCATATTTTTACTAGCCTTTTTGTAAGAGTAAGGAAAACCGACATATTATATTGCCTTATAAAAAGGTACCAAAATATATATCTATATCTATATATATGAGATCAAGTATGCAGCATATGCCAAAATTGACTTGAAATCTAATTAATTGAAAAGTGTAGCATAGTATTATAATATGACATAAATTTGCTACAACTAAGCAAGTACGGTGTTACAGAAGTAACATTAGGCATGTGTTCTTATAAGAATGAGTCTTATGCATGTAGTTTGGACATATGAATCATAAGGGCTTTGTATGTCAAGAAAGTCCCATATTTTATTGGGCAGTTATAGAACGGATGTCTACTGTAAAAAGAGTCATACATGGCAAATATCCCATTAAGTAGTTGCTACATGTTACTGTACTTTAAAAACCTTTCTTTAATTTATTTTTGGGGTTAAAAGTCTGTTTTGTTGCGATGAATCAAGCTAGATAATCGGATTATGAAAATAACATAATGTGTTGTGTAAATTATTACAAATGCCACTGTTGTTTGATTTGTGTTGAAATGAACATTGTCCTTTCTGTTTAACTTCGGTGGTGCGGGGGATGTGCAAATATCATGTAATTAAGGTTTTCTTTTCAAAAGTTTTTATATCAATCAAATCACCCTCTTTTTTTGGCCAACAACGAAGGACATTCTGCTAAAAAAAAATGCTACCAATGTAAAATATTGTGCTTCAGATGTTAAAAAAAGACAAAAAGACCAAAAAAAAAAAGCCTCGTTGTGAACCTATGTGAAAAAATTGTGTAATAATCATTATGTGTACATCATCATAACAAATAAGATGTTGACTTCTTTTCCTACTTATACAACACTAAACAACCATATTTGCCAGATGTACTGTATATTTCCCTTCGTTAATGTAAAAAAAAGCGCTTTAAATGTTCTTGTTACTTTTCTTTTCTTCCTGATGATTTTATTGAGCATATTGTAAAATAACCATCATTTCAATGGTTTAACACTTTGGAGGACTCATGTTTTTGTGGGTTACACACTGAATCAAATCTAATAAAAACTAAGAAACATTTGATCATTTTAAAAATGATAAAAAGTGAGTAATGTTGTCTTTTTTATTCTCCAGTGATCGACAGTGGTGAAGTACAGTATCTATATTTACTCTTCTACACCCAGAACATTATATCATTCTTTTTACTCAACAAAATTTCATAAGAATGTAGTTTGTTATCTGCGCAACTAACCATGGTTTTGCTATAAAAAAAGAAAATAAAGTAATAACAAGTAAAGCATTTAACCACTGTACTTGCAGTAAAACTGTGGTTATACATATGGTAATCAGTCACCCAAGAATTATTGCTTTTTTACACTGTAATGAACCATGGTTCATTTTTGGAATAGGAATTTTAAGCTTATATTAATCAACATGGGGGCCAAGCAGTGGCGCAGTAGGTAGTGCTGTCGCCTCACAGCAAGAAGGTTGCTGAGTCGAGCCTTGGCTCAGTTGGCCTTTCTGTGTGGAGTTTGCATGTTCTCCCCGCGTTCGCGTGGGTTTCCTCCGGGTGCTCCGGTTTCCCCCACAGTCCAAAGACATGCGGTACAGGTGAATTGGGTTGGCTAAACTGTCCGTAATGTGTGAATGTGTGTGTGGATGTTTCCCAGAGATGGGTTGCGGCTGGAAGGGCATCCGCTGCGTAAAAACTTGCTGGATAAGTTAGCGGTTTATTCCACTGTGCTGACCCCGGATTAATAAAGGGACTAAGCCAGGGGTGGGCAAACTCAGTCCTGGAGTGCCGGTGTCCTGCATAGTTTAGCTGCAACACTAATCAAACACACGTGAACATGCTAATCAGAGTTTTCAAGATCTCTAGAAATCTATAAGCAGGTGTGTGTGATTAGAGTAGGAGCTAAACTGTGCAGGACACCAGCCCTCCTGGACAGAGTTTGCCCACCCCTGGACTAAGCCGACAAGAAAATGAATGATTGAATAATCAACATGTTAAATTTTTGTCATTTTTATATGATAAATAATATGGTATTTTGTTATTTTAAACACTTTAATCATGATAAATTATTATTACACACAATGTTTTATCACCCTCATGAAAATGAACAATGGTTTTACAACGAATGTTACACAAGTGTACAGATATATAGTTAAACTGATTCATTTAGCAAAACTACGGCTAATTTTTGATTAGGCTACTATGGGTTAAGTAAAAAAATAAATAAATAAAAAACTTTTATTTGGTTTATTTGTAGTAGTTAAATTTTGGTTTAAATAGATAAAAACGTGTTGTTTATTTGTAGTAAAACCAAACAACTTAAATATAGTTTAGAAAAGCATGGTTAATTGTTGGTTACCATTAAGGGCGTAGCAACCGTGGAGGACGGGGGAATACGTCCCCCTCACATTCAGAGACCGGCCATTTAGAAACAGGTGATTAATAATTATATGAACACAAACTTTTGGATCTCCTTCAGCTGTCCCCCCACTTTTAAAATGTCCACTACGCTCCTGCCATATTACAACACAAAAACAATCTCTCTTTTTTTGTGTATTAAACCAGTTAAACTGCTGTATAGGCCGTCTTAGCAATGCCATTATTCATTGGCAGTTACTGTGTTGTTGCTTTTTTTGTAGTAATACTTTGTTTAAAGTGATTATTATATGCTCCTCGTCCATTTTAAATTCATTAACTTCTTTAAAAATCACCATTTCTTATAGCCTTTTATAAGTTGTCCACTAGAGAGCAGCACTACCTCTCCTATCCAGTACGCTAAACTAAAACTTCCTTTGCCAAAATCATTCCTGGCGTTGATGGAGAGGCTTTTATTCCATTATGTCCTCTAACTCTAGTTTAAGCACACTCCGAGCCGTATTTTTTACTCCTGCTTTAGATATTACGGTGCCTTCCGTTTGTTTACATCCCCGTCCCTTAAGGGATCTGATCAGTCACATCTCTACCTACCAAGGTGTCTTTTCTGTCGGACTATCCGGGCGGGGCAGCTGTCAGAACGGCTGAGGTGAGTTTCTTTGACCGCTGCCGGAGGGCGAAAGCGGCCTGTCCACTTCAATCTCCTCTCTGGCTCTTTATCTGTGACAGCAAAGCCATTCAGAGCCGCTTGAGTCACATCAATAACCGCAGGGACGAGGCTTCTGTCCGCCTCAAATGTCTGACTGTTTAAATCGCATTAACTGCAGGTAAAAAACAGTTAAACCGAGTCTGTGTGGATTTTGGTGTGATTCACTCGATGGTTTCTGGTACGGTGATATATATTGCTTTAATTTTGACCAAAAAGCTCTAACAATTAGCCAAAACAGAGTGAAATTTAGGACATTGATGTAAATTAGCCTAATTTTAATATATGGTTCAGAGCTGTAACCAGTGTTGGGGGTAAAGTATTACAAGCAACGCAAGTAGTTACGTATTTATAAAACTTTTCTAAGTAACGAGTAAAGTAACGCATTACTTTTTAAAATAAATAGTAATATTTGAGTTACTCTTTTTTAAAAATGCAATGTTACTTTTTAGTTTAATTAATTAGCTTTAAAAAAAATAAATTGCTGAATTAAAATTAAAGTAGCCACAATGAATCATGCAGGCAATGAGAGAATGTGTGTATTATTTATAACACATCGAAGAAAAGGAAAAGGGGATTATCTCAATGGACAGTGACTTTGCCTATAAAAAAAATTGTACAAAAGTAGCAAGCACATTACATTCAGTAATCTTTACGGCATGTGTAGCTCTGGAGGAAGTTCTCAAATAACATCCTAAAATAATTACTTTTTGATGTGTTTTTTTAAAGTTAAATGTAGATGTAGCTAATACAATGTGTCATTAATGGCAAAACACCTTTATTAAATGAAGCAAGCAAAAAAAATAAAAAAACTTTGAAAGAGATCAAGCCTCAGCCAGGTAATAACGCAAAACTAACTCAAAAGTAACAACACATTACTTACTATAAAAATTAACTAAGTAAAGTTGACTAGTTACTTTTTTGGGGAGTAACTCAATAATATGGAAGTTTTTTCCTAACAAAATTCAAATGAAAATTCAAATGCTTAAAAGATCAAATGATAAATCAAATGCTCAAACTATAAATCGAATGCTCAAACCGACATTGCAAATGATAAATCAAATCCTCAAACCGACTCCTCAAATAATAAATCAAATGCTCAAATGCACTTTGCAAATGGTGAATCAAATCCTCAAACCGACTCCTCAAATGAAAAATCAAATCCTCAACCTAACATCGCAAATGGTGAATCAAATGCTCAAACTATAAAACAAATCCTCAAACTGACATCGCAAATGGTAAATCAAATGCTCAAACAACTCTGCAAATGGTGAATCAAATGCTCAAACTATAAAGCAAATCCTCAAACCGACATCGCAAATGGTGAATCAAATGCTCAAACAACTCTGCAAATGGTGAATCAGATTTGCGTGCACTATTCCAAGTCGTATCCGTATAAACTCATGAAAGAGAAAGTGAGAAATCTCCTACTGCTTCTGTCCACATTCTAAAGTGTTCATCAGATGGGTACATCTCTCACAGGAGGCCACGAAAAAGCATACGGCAAGATGATGATGCTACGTCACATTGTGGAAAACTGAATGGATGCAGACATCTTACATGTAGGTAAATAAATGCAGAAAGACGGTTCCTTGAGTTAAGTTACAGTAAAATAGCAATAGTTGAGCTACTGTACAGTGAACTGTAGAATTACTGAAAGTGTAACGATGCTTTACAGTATATTTATTTTATCTTGCTGTAAATTATCATGTAGGAACTTCTGTAAGCACATGACGTTACGTTTCAAACGTTAATTTACATAAAGACGATTATTCAATGTCTGACAGAAAAATATAAGAGGTACTGCAGATTAGCAAATTATAACATTAAACAGACGTCTGAGTGATTTGTTTATGCTGATGCAGAATGCACTTTTGTCAATACAGCTTAGGTTAGATACACGTAATATTAATACAGTAATGTTTTCTTCTGTTCATTTGGTGATACATTTATGAAAGTATAATTTTGAGCACACAAATCACAGAGGTAACGTGACTTGTCTGGTTGTTATAGAGAAGGAAGCACACATGTTTGTGTGTTAGCTGATGCAGAGTGACTGAACAAATGCTATCATCATATTTGTTTAACAAAATATTGTTATTTTAAACAGCTATTACAACAATTTCTTTAATGTTGATTTATATGCCATTTCTGGGCTGGAGCAGGACTTGCAAGGCAAGAAAACAGAGAAAACCTGAATTCAAAACATGAAGTAAGATCATGTTATTACTTCCAATTCAGAACTCAAATGAAACTCAAAAAGTGTGCTGTTAAATGACTTCTTTATTAAGAGCTTTGCATAATCTGAAATGTCCTCAGACTGGTGTGTGCAGTGATGACGATGAAGAACAGCAGTGTGCTGATGAAGGAAATGTTGAAGATGCTGTTGTGCCGTGGACAAGATCCTGCATCCCTCCACCTGCCTGCATGTCCTCATCTGAGCCAGATGCTGGTGTGGTCTCTTCATCTTCAGTATGAATCGGTTTCTCAGGCATGGACAGCCTCACCTCACAACTCTGTTCCAGTCAAGTGAAGTCCAGCATGCAGCAAAACATGGAGTTTTGTCTAAAATACATGATTGTTTAAATAAGTTTAAATAAAGCTTAGTTTCGTATCTTGTTGACTTGTATTTATTTATCATGGTTACTATTATTAATTCTTTTAATCATACATTCA